AATCTAAAATTTCAGCCTACTAGACTCCGTGGTTTCCGAGATATTAACTTACCTGTAAAAAATTTCACGGGGCCGTGCGTGTTACCCGCGGGTACGGGGAAGCTGAATTTAAATTTGCGGGGTCACACGTGGGTGGGGAATGTTCCCCTAAATTTTCAGCTTCCTATCTTTTGTGGTTCCCGAGTTGAAAGTTGCGGACAAGTTGCTGTGGACACACACACACACACACACACACACAGACAACCCCGTAACAATATGCGTTTTGTACTGCTGTTACATAGCACAAAACGCATAAATAGCAAATGGGTGTTGGAAGTCTTTCAGTTTCTATTCCACGCAAAGCTCGGTAGAATTTACTATGAAATTTTCACAAGCGAGGTCACCGCTAATCGTAGGGTGCTTTATTTTACGGAACATAAAGTGCTTCTGGCCTCCACAGACGGGGATTTAATGTAGACTTCGAAATATAAGACAAAAATAACACAATAAAATAGAATATAAAGTTATGTTTAGCTACAAAAAGAATGAGCACGGAAGTGAGGGGGAAAAGGTTGCGAAAAGTGAAACATAAAAAAAAGCCCAAGGCATAAATGCAATTTTCATTTTCACATTCCAAGTATTAGGTATCCTGTGATTGTTACGATTGGCTTTTGCGCGTTAAGCCAAGTGGATAAGGATTTCAGCCAACTAGATGATTTGGAGTCAATTATTTTGAGAACAGCAAAACTGGACAAGTGGTACCGACAGGAATCATTATGGAGAAGCAAAAATCTCTTAAGGGATCTCATCGTCAAAATCACTTGCAAACTGGACTTACCACTTTTTTCGACTCCGTTTCTCCTGATCCAGTATCCAACGCAGCTCTTCTTCAACGAGAAATCGTTCGATGGAATGTGCACCAGGCAGAATTGGTCCCTTAAAATAAACAAAATGAAGCCGCATTTGTGATTTTAAAAGAAAATTTCGAGTCACAAAAAGACAAAAAATGCTACTAAGTTTTTTTAAAGAAAAAACTTTCTGGAAAATTTATTTCTGGAACTTACATCTTCCGGGCAATCGGCATAATCGAAAAATCGAAACACAACACTGGGAAGAGGATACATGCTTTTCGAATCATGCGGTGGAGCTTCGAAACTGAAAAAATTCATTTCAAACTGTTCAATAAAAATTATGCAAAAAGTGGACGAAACGACCAGGTTTTTTTTCACAATATTTTGAAAACGCACTGTTAATGAATACATTTTAATGGTACTTTATCCGGAAAATTCGGGCAAAGTCTAGGCATGCATGCGGGATAAAAACTAGCACTTGCTGCTTTATACTCTATTTGGGTAAAGTTCAACGTGGATAAAATTATGTGCAGTAAATAAGATCATCAGCCCAAATATCAATCATTACAAACAACTGTTCAAGAAGCACTGTGTGTGTGTGTGTGTGTGTGTGTGTGTGTGTGTG